ATTCTTTCTTTTTAGTTTATAATCCCACACTTCTGGCTTTTTTCCCTCGTTTTAGTCTGTCTTTAGCTCTTTCCAACACCACAACTTGCATTTTCATTTAGGGGTTTGTAAACTCACCTCAAAAACTCTCTTCTAAAAACGCTAGACAGCTACCTGCGTAATTCTTCAATGATAGGTTTAGAAGAAGATTCAGTTTAGATGTGATTTATTTCATATTTAAGTGAAACTGTATGTGTGGCTTTGGAGCCCCCTACAGTTAAGTGAGTGGAATTCACTGTCGTAAATATACCACTGTCGTAATTACAGTGGATAGCTGTGCACGCGCAGTTGTTGCTGACGTAAAGCGATCCACGCTTTTCGCGGAGTTTTGTACCGCTCACTAAACTTACGCACTTCCAGAGCAGACTTTTGGAAAGGAACAGAAGCCGTTCATCTTATTAGAAGTCAGTGTACCATCAGAGTGACTTTGAAACTCATTTTTAAAGGTAAAAAAAAACTTGTTTTAAAACTTTTGGGTGTGTAGTGTCATTTTGGTATTCTATATTTGTATTATTGGCTGTTGTGTGTTGTATGACTGTTAGATATATTATTGTGTGGTTGGATATATGTAATAGCAAAAGGTTGTGTGGAAGTATGTTCTCATCAGTGATGTGAGAATCCAAACTCTTCGAAGCTTCGAATCAATTCGCAAAATGATTCACTGTTTCGAAGCGACTGCTGATCGCTAGTGACGCCAATTTGGGGTGGGAGGAAAAAATATTTGTCAGATTTTTTGCGTTCCCTCGCAATACTTTTGCGTTCTCTCGCAAAACCAGCTGAGTTCGGACAAACACTTCCTGTTTACTTTACAGCTTGTAGTGGTTCATACAGCTCCGTACGTTCACAATGGAGCAGTTCATAGAGTTTTGTTTTGAACTTGGATGGTGACCTCTGGTGGTGATTGAACGGAAGTCCATGGACAGGATTCGTGACACATAGAAAGAAAACGCTTAATTAATGGACTAAGATAGAGTATAAAAAGGCCGAATTCGGTATACAGTTTATTAATAAATTATATATGAAAGCAGGTAAGAACAAGCCTTTTAATATGTGGGGGCGTGTTCGAACGAGCCGTTTTAGGTAGGTGTGGCTGACTCTTAACTTTGATAAAGAATATCTCTTTGGATTTGAGACTTTAGTCTTTGCAACTTTACAGATCTTCTTTATGCACCAAGAGCTTGTAACACTCCAAAGAGAAAGGAAAAAATGAAATCGCATCATATGACCCCTTTAACTACTTCTCATCCTTTTAGATGTCTCATTAAAAATGTCTACAAATTGATGAAACTAGATCAGGTAAAAATCATAGACACTGGTTCAATGGTGCGCCTCTGGGGGGCGATCTCAATGAGCTCGCCTGATTCACGGGTTCACAGAGATCGCCCCCCAGCGGCGAACCATTGAAATTTCGGCTGCATTCGAAAACTGAAAAATGCTGCCTTCGGAGAACGCGTTCCAAGGAAGGCGTCAAGGCATGTCCGTATCCAAAGTTAGCTTCACTTCCTGTCTCATGAGATACCTTCATCTTAGAACTGGGCGATATGGCCAAAAAAA